GCAATATTGGGAATTCACGTATGCTACACCAAAAAGTATCTTGACATGGAAAAACACTAGCATATTTGGGAAAATACCATATTATGGAATAGTGAAGGAGATGATTCTGTTTAAAAAATATTTTCAATTTCAAAATTTCATTTATTCACCCCTACCCTCGACCCCTCACCCACCCACTCCCCTACCAGGCCCCCACCCAAAAAAAATAATTTAAGTTTGTTTTTAAAAAATATTTTCAATTTCAAAATTTCATTTTTTCACCCTACCCTCGACCCTCCACCCACCCGCCCCTACCAACCCCACCCCCAAAAAAAATTTAAGTTTGTTTTTAAAAAAATAATTTTCAATTTCAAAAATTATTTTCTACACTAGTAAAAATAAAAGATATTTTTCAAAAATATTTTTTCATTCATAAATCAAACACTAAAAATCTTTTTCGAAAAATATTTTCTACTCACCAACCATACATGAGAAAATAAGTCAAAATCAATTTGTTTTCCAGGAGAACATTTTCTAGGAAAACATTTTTCATGGAAAACATTTTCCTTTCATACCAAACACACCCTAAATCTTGTTCCAAATTGAAGAGAATGACAAGCTAAATCCAAGGCTAACATACATGACAGTACCAATTTAACTTCTGTAGAAAATAATGAAAGTTCACTTTCAATCATGGACAGGGTCCAACTATCATTTCCACAAGTATGCGCTGTAAAATCGATAGCTATGAGTGCCCATATTACTGCTGCAACAATATCATACACAATCAGTACCTTCTGTGGTGGTTCGCCCAGCCAGATATGACATACATGCCAATTACAATATCGTGAACAATTAGGTCCAAAGAAAAGCTACAAAACCAGGTTACCTGCAGATTATCACACCAAATCATAACCAACTCTTCAAACACGGCAACGAGCTTCATAATCATGTCATATTTACTTATCCTCTTAGCAGACTCTACCCTGGCAAGATGTGAGCCTAGAAGTTGAACTATAAGATGATTCGGAAACTTCAATTCTTCTCTGAAAAAAGAGCAAATCAAATAACTAACAAGTGTCCAGCAATAGAGCCTGTCCAATTGGATTCAGCTAGATGAACTCAGGTGTCTTGTGTGAGACACTCATTGAAAAATTCCTATCAAGCTCAACCTGTACCATAGCATACGCTACAATAAAAAGTTCTGTGAAGGCATTGTCGTGTACATCTGATGATGTGTGTGAAATAAGAGCCATGGATTTCGACTTGTGAATACAGTGATATGCTAATGTGGAATGGTCATAAGCTCTGAATATAGAGAAAGTGAGGTTGAAAGCTTCTTCAAACTCTAATGTAAAAAGAAGAGACTTGTCTGCAATAGCCGCAACCTGATTCACTCCAAACTTCATTGTTGGTATCGCATGAAACGCATAAAATTAGAGACACCATTGAAGACTGTTATCTAATGTAAGGGTGACACCTTTGAACATTGATGGTATAAAAAAAGAAGCAATTATCGAATTTTCTATTGTCAAAGCCTGTTTGGATTGGCTTAAAAGTTGGTCAAACCTACTTTTAAGTCAGTTTTTGACTTCTGCCAGTGTTTGGCAAATATAAAAAATAACTTAACATAAGTCAAAAGTGACTTCAAATAAGTTATGAAGTGTTTGACAAGGTAAAAAATGACTTAAAATAAGCCAAACATGACTTAAAATAAGTTAGAAACCAAAAGTAGGTCTCCCCTACTTTTTATTTTTTGACTTAAAAGTCATTTCAGTTTGACTTTTTATTTTTGACTTAAAAGCTATTTTTTTTAAGCCAATCCAAACGGGCTCTTAATCTCATCAAGTCAAATTGGCAATGCATAGCAATTGCCTCTCCTTGGGTATTTTCAGCGAACACCTTGGAATAGTGGCAAGTTTGGGACATACTATCAAATAGTTGTTGAGAGGATCAATTCCACATGTAAGGATATCTTTCTAATATGGTAGAAAACTTGTGAGGCGTCTCGGCCACATAAGACAGGGAATCACATAGCTGCCTATTATCTACCCAAGTATCCACAACACTACCAAAGGGTAAAATATCAAGTAATGGCTCAAGCTGAAAATGAAGATATGAGCATGTTTTCTTATGACAACAAGAAGTATGCAGTATTTGACCAAGAGGAAGCTTCTCACCTGAAGGTTCAAATTTGTTGCGTTGTCCGGTGACATAGGGCAGAGAAAACGAGTTGAAATTGGTGAATAAGCATGAGCAATGGTTAATAGAATTGGATGCATATTTAGATAGTCTCCCATCTGTAGAAACATGGACATTTAACTGAATATTCCCTAAGATTGGGGTAAAATCCTCTAGCACAAACTCTTGATCGTTAGCAACCATAGTCTTTTGAACCGGACTCACCGAGCCTTCAAATTTTGCTTGTACATCACACACTTGCTCTAATATTTCATCTTCTAGATCAGAGTGACCCTCCGAGCTAAAGGTTGTTGCATCGGATTGTTCATCGACGAACACCTCGTGATTGGTTTGTTGGGAACAAACATCTAACCTATGGGCTTCGGTAGTCACGGCATAGCCTTCCATAGACATAACGACCCCATTAGCTGAGCTAAATGGTGAATCCTCTGCTAGTGGCATTTCATCGAACACTTGTTCCGCATTTGAGCTTCCAACTTTGGAAGCAGATTCAATTGCATAATAAGTAGGTAAAATATTCAAATCAGCATATGAAACGACCTGGGTCATTGGAGTAACTAGGGCTAGCAAAATGAGTTATAAATCTGGGTATCTATTCATTTTTACCCATTTAAAATGGGTTGGGTACCCAATGCTTTTAAAATGAGTTAAATATGAGTCCAACTCATATTACCCATTTAAAATATGGATACTTAAATGGGTAAAATGGGTAAATAGAAAGGCTTATTCACTGTAAGAGAAAAAAATAGGGCAGAAATTTGAAACCCACGCGAACCAAAATTGCCTCAACTTTTCATCATCTTCCATCAACCAACGTTGTCTCAGCTCCGGCGATTTCTCCGGTGAGACTCTCTCCTTCGTCTTTACTTCTATCTCCGTCTCTATTTTCTCCTTTTCTATTTTTGTTGTTGTTGTTGTTGCTGTGGTACTCTGCTTTGCTGTTTTGATTGATTTGATAGTAGACTTTCTATTTGTTTCTTTTAGTTCAACTTTTAGATCTACTTAGCGATGCATGTGTAAATACAACTTCTAGTCATGGGTACAACTACTTCTTAACCCTGCCTATATGAGCATACATGGTCCAAACCCAAATGAAGAAAGAGGGCTATGGTAGGTTGAAGGCCAAAGAAGTAGTTCCCTCAATAGTGTGAAATAGATATGGATGATCCACATAGACATAGTCTGTGAGAAGCTAAAGTAACTTTTAGTTCATTTGATATTCTTACCTTATTAATTGTGCTGCTATGAGTTGATTTTGTTATTTGTATGTATGGCTCATTGTTTATGATTTGTAAAATTAGGGTGATATGTCGATAGAAGGCAATGAAGAGTCTTGTGAACGAAGTACTGCAACTTCGTTGATACGAGCAAAAAGGAAAATATCTGTTGTTTGGGATTAATTTATTAGACTTAAGCCTAATTCTATTGACGGAAAGTATGAAGTTCAATGCATGATCTGTAAACAAAAAATTTGCAATGGGCCCTACATTTGGAACAACAAATCTAAAGCGTCATTTGGAGAAACATAACCCAGATAAGGCTAAAGAGGGTCAAAATGAGCCAATAGATCAAAAAACTTATCGAGAGAAGATGTCATTGGGTATATCTAGGCATAATTATGCTTTCAGTTTTGTAGAGCACAAAGGCATCAGGGATATTCATTCATATTTAAATCCAATAGCAAGGCATAGATCAAGAAACACATCCAAGTCAGATATCTTGAATTTGTATGCTAGAGAAAAAGAACTTCTAAAAGTTGAACTTGCATTATATTGATTTCTAGTAGAGTGTGTTTGACATTTGACATGTGGACTTCATTAGTAGCTAATGGCTATATGTGTGTAACAACTCATTATGTGGACATAAATTGGGTTCTTCAGAAAAGGGTTTTGATTTTTCGTCATGTTCTTCCTCCACATTCGGGTGTAGTTTTAGGTCATTTATTGATTGATTTTCTTAAAGAGTGGGGAATCGAAAAGAAAATCTTTGCCCTTACTTTAGATAATGCTACTTGCAATAAAGGTGTGGTTGATGTTTTGAAGAATCATTTGTCTTTAATGCGTTCACTAGTTTGTGAGGGAAAGTTTCTTCATCTTCGTTATGGAAATCACATCCTTAACTTAATTGTTAAGGCGGGTTTAGCGAAGGTTGATGCAACTATTGGAAAAATTAGAGAAGGTGTTAAGTATATCAAGAATTCAGAAGTAAAACTAGAGAAATTTGCGGAGTGCCTTAGTAACCTTGGTCTACCATGTTCTACAAAACTACGCCAAGATGTGCCTATTCGATAGAATTCAACCTATCAAATGATTGAAAGTGCTCTTTTGTATCAGCAGGCATATATTCATTATGACTTGGTTGATCCTGATTTTAGACATAGCCTTTTTGAAGATGAGTGGAAAAAGGTTGAGATTGTAGCTACATTTTTGAGGCCATTCTATGATATCACAACTTTATTTTCTAGATGCAAGTACCCCACAACAAATTTGTATCTTCTTAATATATGGAGAATTGAAATGCTATTGGTAGAACACAAAAGAAGTAAAGATCCAATGATGACTGAGATGGCCACTTCTATGTTAAAGAAGTTCAAAAAATATTGGGAGTCATATAACATCATTTTATCTATAGCAATGGTTCTTGACCCGAAATATAAACTGAATTTTGTTAAGTTTTGTTTTTCAAAGCTTAATTTTGATACCGCCAATTGAAAAGTGAAGGTTATCGAAGGTAATTTAAAGTTATTATTCGAAGAGTACTTGATACCATCTACAACAACCTCATTGTCAAATGACTGAAGCATGCTTGTAGTAATAGATTTCAAATGACTCAAGCATTTGAGGAGTTTGATATGTTTCAAAGTCAGTTAGAGTCGAGTACCAGTAAAACACAATTAGAGTTATATTCGGAAGAAGCTAACGTTGATCGTAAAACAAATCCGAATCTAGATGTAGTTGGATTTTGGAAGGATAACAAACTAAGGTATCCAGAACTTTCATTAATGGCACGGGATGTTTTGTGTGTGCCCATCACTACAGTAGCCTCTGAATCTACATTTAGCACCGGAGGTCGTGCCATTGGAAAGTTTCAAAGCTCTATTCTTCTTGCAAATGTTGAGGTGAAACTATGTACTAGGGATTGGATTTGTGGACAAGAAGGTAAATTTATCTTCTCTAGTTTCATTTGTTTCATTTAATATAGTGAATTTGCATTTAGAACTGTAATGACTTGTTTTTTAAAAAATTGTTGAAGATCTTGATGGATTCGAATCAGATTCTGATGAAGATGAGATTGTTGTTGACCTTCAACCTTATGTTGATAAACTTAGCGGTAAGACTTGAGAGCAACTCACATTTTTCTGCCTTTCTTTTATATTGTTCTTAGTAATCTCTGTTGTTGATAACAGTTTATGATCAACTGTTCTCATCTTTTTGAACTTAGATATGTAACTTCAAATTTATTAAAATATGTAATGAAAGTAACTTCACATTTATTAGAATGTGTAATGAAAGTAACTTCACATTTATTAGAATGTGTAATGAAAGTAACTTCACATTTATTAGAATGTGTAATGAAAGTAACTTCACATTTATTAGAATGTGTAATGAAAGTAACTTCACATTTATTAGAATGTGTAATGAAAGTAACTTCACATTTATTAGAATGTGTAATGAAAGTAACTTCACATTTATTAGAATGTGTAATGAAAGTAACTTCACATTTATTAGAATGTGTAATGAAAGTAACTTCACATTTATTAGAATGTGTAATGAAAGTAACTTCACATTTATTAGAATGTGTAATGAAAGTAACTTCACATTTATTAGAATGTGTAATGAAAGTAACTTCACATTTATTAGAATGTGTAATGAAAGTAACTTCACATTTATTAGAATGTGTAATGAAAGTAACTTCACATTTATTAGAATGTGTAATGAAAGTTTCTGCATACCTACGATCTTATTTTTTTTGTTTTCTTTTTCTGTCAGATCATCATATCTCAAAGGACAATCCACAATAGCAGAAATCACCGAGAGTTAGTGGAAATTTTGTTGGAAGTGATAGCCTTGTAGGTGCAGCATCTTTCATCTTTTTAGAGTTAACATGCTGCTGAGCAATTAATCGTGGATCTCCAGTTGATCAGTTGGCGGAAGCTGGATTAACACCATCTCATATTGCAGCAACAATATTTAACATACTTGGACAAACCATAGAGGCTTTAGAGGTCATGACATAAGATGGAAGAAGTGTTAGAAACTTGTCATGTAGTAACACACAAGAGACTACATTGATGCAAACAATTGAGTTTGATTGAGTAGAAAACAAAACAACTTTTTGTAAAGTTCACAAATGTATCTCTTTTTTTCAATAACAATTTTGGTGGATTAGGCAGACTTAATTGTCATTTGACAAAAGTGTTCCAGTCACAATTGTCTGATTTAGTTATCTTCACTATCCAAATTGATCATTTAATGTCTTTAAATGCTTTATGACTTGGTCATTTTGGAGCTCATTGAGCATGCGAGAAACTTTACTTATGGATTAATATGGGTAATATGGATACCCATATTATCCATTGGGTAACTCATTTTTTACCCATTTAAAATATGAGTTGAGTCGAGTATTTTACCCATTTTTGTTTAACTCGTTTTTGATCGACTCATATTCTACTCGACCCGCTCGTTTGCCACTCTTAGGTGTAACCATAGGTGCAGACCTATCATAGTCAAAATGGGCATGAGAAGGATCAACAAAATACCTTGATGTAGTAATGGTTGTGTTCTGAAATCGCAACACCACTTGCTCTTTAAAATGCTTCCAATCAACTAATTGATTATTGCGATACATCCAGGGGCTGATCTAGTAAGGTTCGTGGGGTTGCCACGCCACCCACGGGCTTCAATGGAAACTCTAGTATATATAGGTATGTATCTATAATATAATTACAAATACTAAACGTGTCACCCAAGGAACCAAAATGCCTTGTGGTGCGGCTGGCTAAGGGTCATATTCTAACACGGAGGTCGCGAGGTCGAATCTCGCTGAGGCCCTGATAGTTTTTTAATTTGCAATTTTAACTTTCTCCCTTAATATGATAGCGGCACATTATTTATTTTTTCTTGTTTCTAATAGTTGTCTTAATATGGAGTAGTAATTTATAAGTATATTTGACTAACGTGTTACTTAAAACGTGATCTATTTGTAAATACAAGCAATGATATTGTCATTGATCGTTTTTAAAATATGAAAACTTGTCGAGCACAATTATAAATGAATGATTAATATTTATGATATTTATAGTATAATTGAAAGTTTTAACTTTGTTTACTTTGTGATCTCAATCAAATGTGGGGTGCAAATTTGTATTTATATATGGAGGTAGGGAAGGGAAGGGAAAATGGTAAGGTGAGAGTTCAAATAGTCAACCAATTGAGCTAAAATGATTTTTCCCAAATATTACGTGAGAAAAAAATCTTCCGTTGTCGGTCTTGAATTCGACTTTCAACAAGAGCATCTAAATTAAAACGATAAACTTTTGCTCCGTTGGAGACATCTAATAAAATTGAAACAATGCGGAAAAGATTAGCATGACCCATGCAAAAGAATTTGTAGTGTATATAATACATAAATTGTCATCTTATTATTGTTCATATTTGTCATAGACCGAAAAGACGAATAATTCAACTGAAGCCTAAAATTGATTTAACCGATGAACCTACTTGGCACCCAGAGACTTGAAATCCTGAATCCGCCTCTGGATACATCCAATGAAACCATTCAAGGGCATCACCATCGAAATAGTAGGAGACATAGTGTAATTTGTGGGCATCCGAAATGGCAAAAAAATCAAAATAGAGCTCCGCTAATAAAACCCAACCCACTGCATTGTAGCCGTTGAATCGACCCAACTCCACTGGAGACGGCTGAGAATGCATTAAAGCAACATGAGAGTGCAGAGCTTGAAGCAATTTCTGATTAGACTCTGTAAGAGAATGAAAACTAGAGACTGATGAAGTGAAACCCATTGTTGAATATGAGAGAGCTGAGAGTTCGTTGTCCACCATAGTAGATAGTAGATGGATTCAATGAAAGAACCAATGTAACAAACTAAGGTTTGTATTGATCATAAAACAACTTACAAGCTCATCAAAGAACGAAAAGAAAGAAAGATAGAAAAGGGAGATTCCAGACTGTTATTACAAAATAGCTAACTAAAAGAAAATAACATAACTCATAGCTTAACCCTAATGAGATAGTTTATCCTCTATATATAGGCATCTTTAGTGCACAGGCTCATTCCTTTAACCTGGGTCCCAAATGTAATTTGACAGTATATCAATTGGGTCCTGCATCGTGGCCGCTAGAATCGTAACAAAAAAAGATTATTGTTGAGATTAATTATGTTAGTTAGTTAACAGTACAACATCAGAGAGTTAGTTGATTAATAGTACAGCTTCACAAAATTAGTTAATTAGTTAGTTAGATTTCCGTTTACTGATTGATTAGGAACTTTCTAGATTCTTCCTAGTTGTATTAAATGACACAATGTATGCAGTTTACATTTTGATTTTTCATCATTCAGAAATGAGAAGTGAATTTTTCTCAATTGATCCTCTCTAACTGATTGAATCTAATGTGTTCTAGAATCCACCATTAATGGTGGCTCTTCATGATCAGTGCTGAGTTTTGACAATTATTGATTAACATAATAAATAATAGTAAAATACTTGTTCTATCTAATTAACCTTGATCTGTCCTGTTTTATTTGCCATCCCTACTTCTAAGTTCTAACCCACATTAAAAGCACAGTTGCTACTAGGGTGTACATGATCGGTTTGACTCGATTTGCGGTTTGGTTTGGTTTTCGGTTCGGTTTTGTACACCCCTAGTTGCTACTGTAATTTGATGCAAACCACTTGAAAACTTCTCCAAATCGCACCAAATTAGAGATATGTGCTCCTCTCAGTTCTTATTCTTTTGATATATTGTCACTCAAAATCCAGTTGTGACGTGAAAGAAAACCTAGAAAAAATATCCCACGTCTCCCAAATAAGTTTGTGCTTCAATTTTCAGTTCAAACAATCAAATTAAATGATATTTTCTATTAAACTCAAATCAACAAAAATGGATATGAACAAGGGTGACATTCACAACAAACTTTTTAGTATGGATTACAATTTTTTTTTTTAGAGATTCCTATTGATGAAGCTTCTCTTATATGTAAATGCATATAGAAAATATATAGGAAATGTACCACTAATATATGAAATGCATATATACAAAAATAATCACTTTTGGATGGAAACACGTATACATAGAAATTGTATTATTATTGTATATTGTATAGAATATTCACTATTGTATATATGATCATAGGGAAATATATCATACGTATAAAAACTGTTTCATTACTATGTAGAATATTTATCACTACAGCATATTGTTAAATATATGTTATAATAAAGCATATTCAATCGATGCATTAAGATCTCGAAATGACAACTCATGCATGTCTTGAGCTAACTTTGTCACAACCCAAATCGATCGCAATAATTCGATCTGACCTGCTCAAAACTTCCTTGATGTCAGACCCTACAATGCGAGGAACGAAGCTCGAATAGCATTGATGCACCTTGCGTTAGTCTTACCATAGAAACTATAACCTCGATTTAGATTGATAGGAAGAACTGAGGACTTTGGAACTTACCCTAAGACTTCGACCCCTAGCATTCCAATTGAAACTCAAGGAGCAATATGGTTACCTTTTTAATTAATTAAGTAAATAGAGGAAAGTATTTAGTAGATAAGAGGTAGATGAGTGAGTGAGTCCTCACTGACCTGAGTGATTTTGATCACCTTTTATTTGTAATGTCATATCGAAAAAGGGAGAGTCGAAAACTTTCATTGCAACTAAAGAGACTCACACCTTCCATCAAACTAATATATCACGAGATGAAATCGCATGTTCAAAATTGCGCCAAGGCTGCGACATAGGCAGTTTGTAATAATGAAAATTACAAGCACAAAAGTTGGAAAATCAGATTTTGGAGATTACGAGCACTCTAAAACAAGAAGCATAGGATTGACCGTAACTTTATTTGGACAAAAATCCAAAGTCTTAGTTAAGATCGCCATTCATTTGCACTATAAATAATTATGCAATTTACAATATATATCTAAATATCAGAGAATTTTCTTGTTTAGCGTGGTTTTTCATTTAATTAACACAATATCTTTCACATGGCTTCCTTTATTTCAACATCCACAGCTCCTTCAACCATACTTATGTGCACTTCCACTAATTCCCAATGCCACATTAGGCAAATAAAAAATGTAATGTGTTTTCTTTCTCTCTTCAAATCTTATGATTTTAAATATGAGATGTTATAACTATGACTACTGGAATTTCAAACGTATTAAGTACTACTAAATATAGAAATTTAACACTTTTCTTCAAATAAAGAACGCGAGGTACATAATTTATTGTAAGAGTTTCCACTTCTTTTATTATTTCTTCTTTTTTACGTCGCAGTTCGGTTCAAAGGTAGGTGGGCTTAGACTTATGCCAAGCATTCAAATTTCCAGAGCAGCAACAAAAACACCAAAATTGTCCCATGGCTACAAGAATCAAATCTCATGCTCAATTGTAAGACATTTAAATTTAATTGTTTTCTACTAAGCACATTTCTCAAAATACTAAAAAAAATAATTGTTTTGTGTAGGCTCAACCAGAAACATTGGAAGTTGTCCAAAGCACAATTGCCAAACAGCTATCTATTGATGAAAGTACAGTGACACCTCAGACTAAATTTGCTGATTTGGGTGCTGATTCCCTTGACACTGTATGTTCTACAAATATAGAGTTGCATATAGTACTATTAACTTGAAAATAAGACAGGTTACGTGCTATAATAGGTTAAAATTCGTGTATATATATATTAAAACACTTACAATGTCTTATTATGAAATTGAATAGGTGGAAATAATGATGGCATTAGAAGAGAAATTTGGAGTGTCAATTGGAGAAGAGGGAGCTCAAAATATTGCTACTGTCCAAGATGCTGCTGATCTCATTCAGAAAGTGAAGGAAGTTGAAATTTGATATGTTACACTTCAATTTGATACAAGACATATATACTTGCCCAAATTATTTAAGTCATTTCCTAGTTGTAATTTTTTGTGTTGCTTCCATGAACAATCCTTAAAGTGGGAGTTAATTAACTTAATAATTTTGTCCACCCTTTTTAAGTTTTGCTTCATCATTTATCAATAACAAGCAAATAAAAGTGTTCCATTTTGACTCTTTTGTTAATATCTTCAGTTATAGCGGATATGTGATGAAATTAATCTTTGATCTAATAAATTTTATTTTATTTGTTTTGAGGGGTTGGAGGCGGGTTTCGTAATGAATTGACAAGTTTTACGATGACTGCAGCTAATTAATTACTCACTGCAACTTTTTTTCTTTATCCAAATTTGAGACCGAAGCTCTACTTATTTGGCATTGAGGCGTAATTATTGTTATGGAGGAGAGGGGTGGACTCTCCTGGACTATTTTGTAAAACTTTGAGAAATTTGTGAACAGTATAAACCCAAATAGTACTTAAAACAAAATTCATGGCATTTTTATATAGTACTCAAGCAAACACAAAATTGTTCCTAGGGCGGAATTTTTTTTGGATTACCCCAGCTAAGATGCAATGTACAAAACCTTCATGCCTACCTACATCTAAGTACAACGGTTCCAGGAATAGAGATGGCAATGGAGCGGTACGGATACAGAGCGGGACGGTTTTAAGGTTGTATGGGACAAGGATGGATGCAAGGCGGGTGGGAGTAAATTTTTTTAAAACTATTGAGGGAGTGGGGCGGGTTGCGGGTCTATGCAGGTACAAACTTAATTTTAACTTTTAACTTTTTACATAAGATGAGTAAGAATACACAAATCTCATGACAAATTCATTATTCTTTATACAAACTAACATTGTTTTACTTAAAAATATAAAGTAAAGGGAAAATGACTGAGTTTTCGAAAAATCGATCAAACTTATAAGTTAAGAGAAATCGAGTTTCCAAAAGGACAGAGTCGCCACTTAATTTTTAGTAAAAATCAAGAAAAAACAAACTTTAAATAACAGATAAAATCAATTGAAAATAAAAGGGTTCGAGTTCAAATGTACATTCCGAGAAGGTGTTAGGCCCTCGGAATGCCCGCTAACTTGCGGTTGACCGACGATTTGACCAAAATGGTTTTGACTAATTTTAAAATTTTAACTTAAGTAAAAGAAACTCATTTTTTTTTATTACCATTTATTATTTATATTTCTATTATTGTTATTATTATTATCCTTTAAATTATCTTGAGGGAAATAGGACTAAAGGGGGGGTTTTCTAAAGGGGAGGGTAACTTAACTATCGACAAAACTAAAATTGAGCTAAGTAATAAATAAGTTGTATATATAAGAAAGAATAAATATTTTAACTTTTGAATATAAAGAGAAACGACTATC